TATGAACATGGGTATCATGGTTTGTATACGGATGTCTCTCCAAAGCCCTCCACAATCACAGGTGGGGCTTTTGGAAAGTGATTGGATCATGAGGGTGTGATAATCTTCAATGGATTAGTCCACTGAAGAGTTTACAACTAAATGTGACCTTGGGAGGTGAAGCCTAATCAGGGGAGTTGGGTCCCTGGGGCTGTGGCTTGGAAGGGCATATCTCCTTCCCTCTTCTCTTGATCTTTCTCTGCTTCCTTTCTGCTATGTCATGAGCAATCCTCCTCTGGCATGTGCCTCTGTCATGCCATCATGCTTTGGAGCCAGCTGACTATGGCCTGAAATCTTTACAAATTGTGATCCAAAATATACCTTTCTTTTTAAAGTTGTAGGTATCAGGCGCTGTGTCTCAAAGACAAGAAAGTAACTAAGACAATGGGCATACAAACATCTCTTCCCAACACTCTGAAAAAAGAATGGAATTGCTTTCAATTCTTTGGGGTATATACCCAAAATAAGAAGTGGAATTTCTGGGTAATACAGTATTTCTTCTTCTAATTTTGTGACAAACCATCATAATGTCTTAAGTCATTTTTTCTTATTGGTGAGACACAGTACCCAACACCCACAACTTAAAGCAGGAGAAGTTTACTTTGGTTTGCATTTTCAGACCACAGTCAGTCAGCTCAAAGCAGAAACAGCATGGTAGAAAAGCCTGGGGCAGAGGAAATCTGCTCACATCATGGTGGCTAAGAAGCAAAGAAAAAAGAGAGAAATGGGAGAAATGCACCCTTCCAGGTCATGTCCTCGGTGACCCACCTCCCTCAACCAGGCCTCACCTCTGAACAGCAAGTCAGCACCACTACGGTCCAGTCCTTCCAAAAGCCTCATCTATGAGTGTATGAGACTCTTGGGGAACATCTAGATATAAATCATAACATTATTTTCTATAGCAGCTACATTTGATAGAATTTTACATTCACACTAATAGCACGCAAGGGTTCTAATTTCTCCACGGCCTACTAAACACTTATTTTCTTTGTTGATACTAACCATACTAATCTATGTAAGGTGGTATCTCATTGTAGTTTTGGTTTTCATGTCCCTAACTCGTGATGTTGAACATCTTTTCATGTGCTTCATGTTCATTTGTATATCTTCTTTATTACCTAGGGTCTAATGAGGAGAAAGACACCACATGAGCTATTTGATCAGAGAAAATTTAACGTAAATAATTAGCAGCTATGCATACAGTTGTTAACTAAGTAAGTGAAAAAGTAAAAAGATTTTTTTTTTAGCCAGCACAGATAAGGCTGTGCTATCCAATACAATAGCCACTAGCTGTGCGTAGTTTTAGAGTATTTGAAACATGGTTAGTGTGACTGATGAACTTAATTTTAAATTTTATTTAATTTTAATTCATTTAAATTTAAAAATTGATAACTTGGTACTTTCAATTCTGGCCATTACTGAATAACAGAGACTGAATTTATTTTCTTACTTAAAACAACTGGATTATGGGCCAAATATATAAAATAGTTTTTCAAGGCACTAGAAACCACACAGGAAGAACACAGATCTCTGAGAATGATCTCTGAGAGAAGATAAGTAAGCTCTAGGATTATCCCATGACTTAAACCTTGAGTTTCCTGGCTCTGGTCCAGGAAAGAGGAGGCAGAGTCCAGAGGCTCCCTGGATTGAGAATGTAGAGCTGAGAGTTCAGGAATCTCAAAGCAGCTAGAATTGGCAGGACAGAATACCATAAAGGAGAGAACTACACAGAAAGATAGCTACAGTGGGGTACTCTTGTATATTTGGCAGAGTATGGATACATGAACACATTACTAGGGACCAGGAAAAGAACTATTAAAGATAAGTAAAAGGAGTAATACCCAGCAGAAATTGGAAGATTTCTTGTTCCTTTAGGAAGACTGGAAAACTACATGAATCATGATGAATTGGATAGATTGTTCAGAAGGGTCTTGCCTCAGTAGTGAGGAATAATCACCACTAGAAAAGAGCAATGATTTTCTCCAACCTAACAGACCTTAAAAGCAAGATGGGAAAGGCCAAAACCATGTACAAATATTTTAAAAATTAATTAATTGAGGCTGGGGATATAGTTCCATGGTACAGCAATTACCTACCACATATGAGCTTCTGGGTTAAATGCCTACCACTGCATACAATTCTAAGAAGGCTAAAAATCAATTAATTGACACTGAATTATAACTAACATACATGTTAGAATTAGCAGACCAGAGTACTAAAGTACTTATTTTAATTACATTCTAAATAGTCAAATTATGTAGAACTGTGCAAGATATTAAAAAGATGAAAACTGAATATCCCAATATGAAAATCAGATTATCGGAGATAAAAATATACTGGATAAGATTAATAGTAAATTAGACATTTCAAAAGGAAATATTAGTAAACTTGAGGAAATGTCAATAGACTATCGAAGGTGAAATAGAATGATAAAAATGAAAAGAAAGTCAATGAGGTATGGAACAACTTCAAGTGACTTAATATATGTATAATAGTAATTCACGAAGGAGAGGGGAAACAGGTGGGGGAAGAGAACAATATTTGAGGAAATATTTACCTAAGTTTTACAAACTTCATGGAAGTTATAAACCCACATATCACAGTAGTTCAATGAACCCAGTCCCAAGAAAACTGAGTAAAGAACAACAAAGTAAGGCATAATTACACTGTTCATAACCGGTCATGAAAAGAGAAAAAGCAGCCAAAGGAAAAAGACATGTTATGTACCATGGAATAAAGGTATGGATGAGAGGAGATTTCCTGTGAGAAACAATAAAATTAAAAGGGTAGTGGAGAAATATTCATAAAAAAAGAAAGAAAGGAAGGAAGGAAGGAAGGAAGGAAGGAAGGAAGGAAGGAAGGAAGGAAAAGAAACTGTCAGACCAAGCAAAAATATATTTCAAAAACAAAGGTGCAACTTCATACTCATTCGGATAGTTACTATTGAGGGGTAAGGGGAATAAATGAGAATCAAGACTTGTCATGTAGAGGTACAAGATCCCAACAATGAATGTAACTGTACTGTATCCCTAAAATGTACCAATAAACTCAATTAAAGCTGAAAAAAAATTTTTTAAAAATACAAACACATGTCTGGTTTTACTCTTTTTTTTTTGTTTGTTTGTTTGTTTGGTTTTTTTGCCAGTACCATGCTGATTCTCTCACTGTAGCTTGTAATATAACTTCAAATGTAGGACTGGGATGCCTCCTGCTTTGCTATTACTACCCAAAATTATTTTTGTTATTCTTGGTCTCATCTGGTTCAATATGAACTTTGGGATTGTATTCTCTAGTTCTGTGAGCAATGTTTTAAATACTTTAATTGGGATTGCATTAAATCTATGCATCAGTTTTGGAAGAATAGCCATTTTGACAATGTTGTCTCTGCCTATCCAGGCACATGAGATTTCTTTTCATTTTTTGATGCCTTTTTCAGAGTACTGGAGTTTTCATTGCAGAGTTCTTTCACTTCCTTGATTTGGTTAACTCCTAAGTACTTAATTTTTCTTATTATTGTGAATAGTACTGTTTTCCCATTTCCTCTCTTAGTGGGTTTATAGTTGGTATACAGGTATGTTATTGAGTTTTGTATCCTGGTATACTGCTAATTTGGGTAAATAATTCTAGGAGTCTTTTGACACAATTTTCGGGTCTTCTATGTAAAGATTGTATTATATACAAACAGTGATAATTTGACTTCTTCCTTTCTTATATGTATCCCTTTATTTCTTTCCATACCTGATTGCTCTGGCTAATTTTGAGTACTATAATGAACAGGAGTGGTGATAGTGGACATCCTTGTTTTGTTGCTGATTTTACAGGGAAAGCTTTTAAATTTTTTCCCATTTGATATTATGGTGGCAGTAGATTGGTTGTAAATGGCTTTTATTAGATTGAGATCAGGTCCTTCGTACCTATTTGCTTCAAGGTTTCTACAATGAATGGATGTTGGATTTTGTCAAAGGCTTTTTCTGAGTCCGTTGAAATGATCATGGGGCTGGGGATTTAGCTCAGTGGTTCTGCCGCAGGTGCAAGGAGCCGAGTTCAATCCCTGGTACCAAAAAAAAAACAAAACAAAACATGGTCATGTTATTTTTTGTTCTTCCTTCAATAGAATAGAATAGAGTATAGAGAAACAACTGCAGACACATTTATTCACCTGATCTTTGACAAGGTGGCCAAAAATATATGCTGGAGGAAAGAGCCTCTTTAGCAAATGATGCTGGGCAAACTGGCTATCCACGTGCAATAGATTGAAGGTTAACACATGTCTCTCATCATGTACTAAACTAAAATAGAAATAGACTGAAGATCTATATACTAAAACAGAAATACTTAACCTGCTGGAAGATAAGGTAGGTAAAACTCTTGAAGTCATAGGCATAGACAAGCACTTTCTGAACAGAACTCCAATTTCATAAGAAATAGCACCAAGAATCAACAAATGGAATTATATCAAATTAAAAAGCTTCTGCACAGCAAAAGAAACAATCAACAGAGGGAAGAGACAACCTACAGATTGGGAAAACTTTTACTAGCTATATCTCAGACAGAGGATTAATATTTAGAATATACAAAGAACTAAAAAAATTAGACCTCCCAAACTAAAAGAACAATAAAAAATGGGCAAATGAAACAGACACTTCTCAGAAAAAGTATAAATGGCCAATAAATACATGAAAAAAAGTTCAACATCATTAGTCATTAGAGAAATGTAAATTAAAACATTCCTGAGTTTCTTTCCTACCCTCGAAAGAATGGCAATCATCAAGAAATCAAATAATAACAAATGCTGGTGAGGCTATGTGGAAAAATGAGCCCTTCTACATTATTGGCGGGAATGTGAATTAGTATAGCCACTATTGAAATCAGTATGTTGATTTCTTAACAAATTTAAAATAGAAATTATATTTCACCCAGCTATTCCCCTTCTAGGTAGCTTCCCAAAAGAGTTAAATACCTCATACTGCAGTGATACACATATACCCATGTTTATAGCAGCACAATTCATAATAGATAAATCATAGAAGAGGCCTATATATCCATTGACAGATGAATGGATTTTAAAAATGTGGTATTTATACACAATGTATACTACTCTTGCAAATGTACTTGGGAAGAAGGATATACTTGAGCCATTAGTAGGAAAATGGATGCACCGTGAAACTATAATATTAAGTGAAAAAAATCAGAAACCACAAGCTTAAAATTGCACAGTATGTCTTATATGAGAAACCCAAAGTATAAACGAATCAAAGAGCAAAAGAAAAGACAAAAGGAAATAGAGAGACTGATGTCTGCCAAATGAGAAGGGGACTAAGAGAGGGAGGATGTGGGGTAAGGGGATGGGGACATAAAAAGAAGATGCATCATGTATATGTACCAATTACCCACAATGAATGCATTCATGATGCACCAATACATACTAATACAATTTTAAAAAAACAACAATAAGTGTGAGTGAGGCTGTGGAGAAATTAAACCCTTGTGTTGGTAGAAATGTAAATGGTACAGTTACTGTGGAAAACAGTATGGCAGTTTCTCAAAGACTTAAAAGTAGAACTACCATGTGCTCCAGAATTTTTTTTTCTCCAAGTTTGGACTCCAAAGAATGTCAGGCAGGATATTGAAGAGATATTTGTATTCTCATGTTCATACCATCATTACTTACAATACCTTAAATGTGGAAGCAATTCAGGTGTCCACTGAGGGATGACCTGAAAAATAAAATGTAGTATATACATACAGCAGAGTGCTATTTAGCTTTACAAAGCAAGGGAATTCTGACATATGTTATAATATGAATGAATCTAAATGTCCTAGATGTACTAAGTATCCTTCTACATCGTCCTAAGTGAAATAAGGCAGTTACAAAAGCACAAATATTGTATTATTCTACATATATGAGGTACTAGAATATTCACATTCACAGAGATAAAAAGTAGAATGATGACTGCTAAATCTGGAGGGAGAAGAAAATGTGGGGTTTTGTTTCATGTATGCTTTTAAGTCTTAAAGATGAAAAGAGTTCTGGAGATGTATGGCGATGATGGTGGCACAATAATGTGACTGCAATTAGTCAATGAACCATATACTTAAAATGGTAAAGATCATGAATTTTACGTTGTACAGTGGTACCTTGGTTCATGAACTTAATTTACTCCACCATTCTGCAGCAGATGGCCATGCTTGTGTTTGTGTGGGGAAGATGACCATGGTTGTGTTTGTCGCCTCATGCCGAGTTTGCAAATGGAAGCAAAATTTTGCCAAGTGCTTCTACTCGCAAACTGAATTATTTGTGGATTCATGAACTGAGGTGTCACTATATGTGTTTGACTGTAGTCTGTAAAAAGCAAAGGCGAAATACAGACATTTCAGACATACAAAAGCTTAAACACATCATCATGAGATCTGAGTTATAATACGGGTTGAAGGATATCCTTCATGCAGGAGTAAAATGACCACTGATAGAAGTATCTGTCTATATTAAAGGAACAAAGAATACTGGAAAGAGAAACTTCACGGATAAATAAATATTTTCTCATTTGAAAAGTCTGTTAACAAGGTAAATGACTATTTCCACAAAAGTAACTATAATGTGTGGCAGGCTCTCTAATTTATACATAAATAAAATACCATATATAGAAACAATAGCATAAAGGCCAGGAGGGTGGAAGTGCAAGTGTACTACTGAAAAGTTTATGTTATTTGTGAAGTGACAAAATATCACCTGATGGTGGATTATAAAGAGTTGAAGATCTGTATCATAAATCCTGAGATAAGCCCTACAATAACAAAACAAAGCCAGACACAGTGGCACAGAGCTGTAATCCTACTACTCTGGGAGGCTGAGATAAGAAGATTCCAAGTTCAACCCTAAACTTGCCAATTTAGGGACTTAGAGAGACCCTGTCTCAAGTATAAAATATTTTAAAAATAAGCCCAGTGTGGTGGCATATACCTATAATCTTAGCACTCAGGAGGCTGAGACAGGAGGATTGCCATGAGTTCCAGGCCAATGTGGGCTAGAAAGGGAGCTCAAGTTCAGCCGGAACTACACAGTGAGACTCATATAAAAGGCCTAGGGTGTAGTTTAGCTTGAAGGACTTGGGTTCATTCCCCCCAGTATGGCAAAACAAAACAAAAACAGAATTATAGCTAAAAGCCAGAAAAAGAGATAAAATGAAGACTAAAATACATTCAGTTAATCCAAAGAAGGCAAAAAAAGGGAACAGAACAGAGATAAAGACTTAACACTAACTATATCAATAATCACATTAAATGAAGCGGTCTAAATAACTTCTGTTAGTATCCTGTAGCTCCTCTAATGAGTTATCACTTAAAACCCACAAGTTTATTATTCTATAATTCTGTAAGTAAAAACTCTTATACAGGTTTCAGGGAACTAAAATCAAGGCACTGGCAGGGCTATATTCCTTCTAGAGACTCTAGAGAGAATCTGTGTCCTTTGCCTTTTCCAGCTTCTAGAGCCCACCTGCATTCCTTGGCACATGGTCCCTGTTATTATCTTTGAAGCACATCACTTAAATGTCAGTGCTGTCATCACACTTCCTCCTTCTCTGTCTCCCTCACCTTCCTGTTATAACAGCCTTTGTGATTACACTGTGCAGTCTGATAATCCAGGAGAATCTTTTGGTCTCAAGATCCTTAACTTAGTCATGTCTGCAATGTCTCTGTTGCCTTCTAAGGTAACATATGTACAGGGTCAGAGGAGACATCTTCAAGGGTCCATTATCCAATCTATCCTGCATCTCATTTAAAAGGAAAAGACTAGCTGGGTGTGGTAGCAAAGCCTATAATTTTAGCTCTCTAGGAGGCTGAAACAGGAGGGTGCAAATTTGAACCCAGCCTGGGTAATTTTGTGACTTAGTGAGACTCTGTCTCAAAATAAAAAAATGAAAAAGGGGTGGAGTTATAGCTCAGTACAAAGGCTCTGGGTTTAATCCCAAGTACTGTAAAAAGAAACAGAAAAACTATTTGTGTAAAAAAGCAAGACTCAAGTGTACGCCATTTATAATAAACACATTAAATATAAATACACAGCTTGGTTAAAGTTTAAAGGATGGACAAACACACCATGTACAGAGGGCTGAGTGATCATCCTAATCTCCAGAGCCTGTACATATTGCCATATATAGAAGAAGATGTGATTTAAGGATTTTGAGAGCAGGAGCTTAGCCAGGTAGACCCTAAATGCAATCACATATATTCTCATAACAGAGAGACAGAGGGAATTTGGCTAAAGACACACAGAGAAGAAGAAAATGTGAACATGGAACAAAGAGAGGGAGAAGTGGGGGGCGCAGCCACAAGTCAAAGAACATAGACAACAGAGGCTAAAACAGGCAAGGAATATATTTCCCAAGAGACCAGAAAGAAGTGTGACCTTTTTTATACCTTTATTTCAGACTTCTTGCCTCCAGAATGGTGAGAAAAGATATTTATGCTTGTTTTTTGGGTGTTTTGTTTTGTTTTGTTTTTGTACTGGGGATTGAACTCAGGACCTTGTGCTTGCGAGGCAGGCGGCAGCACCACTGAGATAAATCCCCAGACTCAAGAAATTTATGGTTTTTAAAGTCATCGATATTTTAGTAATCTGGTATGATATCTACAAGATCCTAACAGACCTAGGTAACTAATGCTAACACCAGGCACAGTAAAGACAGATGCCTATGCTAGTAACAGACAAGTAGATTTCAAAACAACTTATATTAACTAGAATGATAATAAAAGGGTCAATTCATCAAGACATAAAATCCTAATGTTTATGTGCCCAATAACAAAACTTCAAAATACCTAAAGCAAAAAGTTGCATTCAAATCATATAAAGTATATCTTAATATCAATTGAATTAAACCCTAATGACAGCGATATCTGGAAAATTCCTGAATACTTGGAAGGTAAATGATATACTTCGAATAACATATTAGAAAGTATTCCTAATTTTTAAAAATACAGCTGTTTAGTTAATGACAGCCAGGACACAGAGCAGGGGAACAGCATCTGAGAATAACAGAGGAGGGGCTACATATAGTACCCAAGGCAACACCTTCAAAACTCCCAGACACACCCAGGAGCATGCTCTGCTGATCTGCTAGGTGGTTCTTAAACCAATGAAGTTGATATATCCCGATTAACAGCCACAAGGAGAAATCAATGTAATATAAAGCAAAAAATAAAAATAATAAAAAAGCACAAAGAAAACAAAAACTGGTTCGTTCAGACAATCAGCAAGATTGATAAAACTCCAGCTGTGTATGTCATGAAAGAGAAAAGACAAAAATTTTCAATGTCAAAATGGGAGGACAGATAACACTACAGTATAGAATCTACATTTCCTTTTTCTTTTTACAGTACTAGGAATGAACCTAGGGCCTTTGCACTGGGCTACATCTGTAGCCCTTTTTTGGATTTTTAATTTTGAGAAAGAGTCTTGCTAAGTCAGTAAGTTGTCCAGGCTAAGCTCAAATTCGTAATCCTCCTGCCTCAGCCCCCCAGAGTGCTTGAATTGCAGGTATGCACAACAATGCCTGACTCAGATTCTACAAATATTAAGAGGGGATAAGGGACTACTGTGAATGAATTTATGTCAATGAACTTGAGGACTTAGATGAAATGGGTTAAATGCTTGAAATATACAAACTACAGAGTAATTAGACAAGAAAAAGCAATAAAAAGTACCCAAATTGTAAAAAAAGAAATGTAATTCTCTTTATTTGCAGGTAACACTCGTAGTGCAGAAAAGTCGTTATAATCTAGAAAAGGTTCTGAAACTAATAAGTGAGATTAACAAAGTTGAGGACTACATCAATTTATGAACAATTATTTTTATTCCTCTGCACTGTGATGAACTGAAACTAAAATTTTAAAATACCATCTATGATAGCATCCAAAATATTAATATTTGCAGAAAAATCAAAGACGTGCAGGATCACTATGCTAAAAACAATAAATCACTGCTGACAGAAACTAAAAAAATCTACATAAAGAGACACATACCTTATTAATGGGTCAGAAGACTCAATATTATTCAGGTGATAATTCCTTACAAACGGATTCATAGGTTCAATGAAATCTCTTTCAAATTCCCAGCAGGATTATTTTTGTAGATATTGGCAAGTTGATTTTAAAATTCAAGTGGAAGTACAAATGACCTAGAAGAGGCAAAAGGACTTTGCAAAAAGAACACATCAGGAGGGTTAATGCTATTTGATTTTAATACTTATTACAAAGTGTTTGGTTTAAATACTTACTATAAAGCTACAGTACAATTAATATAATATGATATTGCTATCAAAACAGACAAAAATATTAATGGAAGAGAAGAGTCTAGGAATACACCACAAAAATATAAGCAACTGATTTTTTTTCCACAAAAGTACAAAGATGATTCATTGGGAAAAGTGCATCCTTTTCAATAAATGGTGCTACAACTACTGGATATACGAATGCAAAAACTATTGGATTCATAATGTGCACCATATAGTAAAAATAACTCAAAATGTAATGTAGATCTAAACACAAAAACTAAAACTATAACAATCCTTGAAAAGATAAGAGAAAATTAGTATGACATTTTGGTTAGGCTATGATTTCTTAGATATGACAGCAAAAGCAAAATACATCATAAACACATTGATAAATTAGATTTCATAAAATTTTTTTTAAAATTTGCTCTTTTAAAGACAAGACAATAAGCAAGACATGGTAGCACATGCCTATAATACTAGCACTCAAGAGGCTGAGGCAGGAGGACAACATTTTTGAGCCCAGCCCAGGCAACTTAGTGACATAGTAAGATCCTTTCTCAAAAAAACAAAACAAAAAACAAAACATAAACAAAAGTCTAGGAATGTAGACCAGTGAAAATATCCTGGGTTCAATCTCCAAAGAAAGAAGAAAGAAAGGGAAAGAAGGAGGGAAGGAAAAGAGGGAAAGGAAAAAAAGAAAAGGAAAGGAAAGGAAAAACAAAAGGAAGAAGGAAGGAGGGAGGGAGAAAAAAAGAAGGGAAGAGCCATGAAAAGACAGTTCAGAGACCAGGAGAAAATATCTGCAAAACATATATCTCATAGTCTTGCATGCAGAATATATAGAATGCTCTAAAGATTTAACAAGAAGATAAACCCAAATGGGACAGAAGATTTGAACAAACAAAATTCTTCACCAAAGACATATAGATGGCATACAAGCACATGAAAAGAGAATCAACATCACTGGTCATTAGGTGAATGCAAATTAAGACCATAATGAAACACTACCACACACCAACTAACATGGCTTCAACTGAAAGAGAATGGCCATAACAAATGCTGCTGAGGATGTTAGTGAGCTAGAACCCTGTTACGGTGCTGTTAGGACAATGGTTTAACACATCATGTATTTGTAAATGGAACTTTGCAGAATAGTTTGATGGTTTCTTCAAAATTTAAACTTACACCTATGAAGTGATTCCCAATATTTTTTCTGAGTTATTTACCTCAAAGAAAGGAAAGTATAAGGGTTGGGGATGCAGCTCAATGGTAGCATATTTTCTGGAAATATGCAAGGCCTTTGATTTGATCTCCAGCACTGCAAAAAGGAAAAGAAAAGCTGATAGGCGGTGGAACAAGTCTGTAATTCTGGTTACTTAGTAAGCTCAGGCAGCAGGACTACAAGTTCAAGGCCAGCCTGGGCAATTTAGACTTTGTCTCAAAATTTAAAAGATTAAAAGGGGTAGGGATGTAGCTCAGTGACAGAGTGTCCCTGGGTTTAAATCCCAGTACTGTCAAAAACAAAGTGCATATCTCCAGAAAGTCTTGCGTGTTAGTGTATATAAAATATAAAGTAATTTTATTTTAGACTTTGTTCCCATATTCAATATTGCTCATTATGTATAAACAAATATTCCAAAAATAAAAAACTCTGGTCCCAAGCAATTCAAAAGGGATATTCAACCTTCATATCTATACAGTGAAATACTGTTTAGCCAAGACATGAATGGATTACTGATATATGTAACAAAATGAGTGAATCTGCAAATCATTATGTTCAACGAAGCCATAAAAGTATCAGAATCAATGTATCATTTAAAATATATAAATTCTAAAAACTGCAAACTAATCTGTAGTGACAGAAACTAGATCAATGACAGCCTAGAGATAGAGGAAAAGAGAGGGAAAGGAGGGATTATCAAGTACACTTAGAGACTCTTGAGTATGTTCATTATTTGATTGAAGTAATGGTTTCACAGGTGGATGCATATGTCAAAACTTATCAAACTGTACACCTTAAATATGTGTTTTGCTGGATGTCAGTTGTACCATCATAAGGCTGTTCAAAGAACTGACCTACATAAAAATATAGCCAACTGATTTCCAATAAAGGTACAAAAGCAGTTTGGTGGAATATGTGAAAAGACTCAGTAAGACCCAACTGATATGGAAATAAAAACATGAGTCCTTTTCAGATTCAGTTAGTTTATGGAGAATCAAAGAGTACCCAAAAGTGCTAGTTTCTTGTGGTCCTTATCTCATACACCAAAAAGATGACATCAAAACAAAAGGGCTGCCCAATTCTCTCATATGTTGAGAAGATCACAAGTAGTTCTGCCAAGACTTATATCAATTTAAGGTCAAGTCTGCTTGCATGGCCTGTGTTACCAAGCTGCCAAAATAGAGCTACTCTTCAGTACATAAAAGCCTCATATGTTGGAACTTGAACAGGTTTCTCTGGACTATTATTCTTCACTGCTACAGAGAAAGAACATTCCATGTGTTTTCATATGGTGAAGTCTATGCCTAACCTCTCTGGACTCTTCTCAATGCATATACTTTTCCTGTGTATTTGTTCTGTATCCGTTGCTGTTAGAAAGCTTAGCCGTGAGTAAAACCTGCCACTGAGTCATATAATTCCTTCTAGAGAATCCTGAACCTGGAGTAGTTTTGGGATCCTAGAGACACGTTTTCTTTTTCAACACATGGTGCCGAAAAAACTAGACATCCATGGGCAAAATAATGATATACTTAATTAATCCCTTACACAAAATTTAACTCAAGCGAAGTGCAATGGCACCCACCTATTGTCCTAGCTACTCAGGTGGCTGAGGCCAGCCTGGGCAATTCAGTGGGATTCTGTCTCAAAAAGAATGTAGCACAGTAGTAGAGTACCTCTGGATTCAGAAGATCCCCAGTAGCACAAAAATAATAAATAAAACACAATTCAAACTGAATCATTGATTTAAATGTAAAAGCATAAAACTTTGGAAGAGAACATAGGAGAAAATCTGCTTCATCTACAGTTTGATGAGGTCCTGAGTTCCATCCTGTTATGTTTTAGATAAAAAACATCCCCCCAAAGCCTCATGTGTTTGAAAGGTGACTCATGGGGGTACTATATTCATCAGTGGATTCATCCATGGATGAGTTCATAGCTGAATGTGCTATTAGAAGATGGGGACTGGTTAGAGGTGGGTCACTGGGGGTGCGACCTGGAAGGGTGCATTCCTGTCCTCAGCTCCTCCGTTCACTCTCTGTTTCCTGGCTGCCATGACATGAGCAGTTTTCCTTTGCCAGATCCTTCTACCATGCCTGTTCTGCCTTGGAACTAGCCAAATATGGACTGAATCTTCTAAAAACCATAAGCCAAAATAAACCTCTCTTCCTTTGAGTTGGGGAGTCAAGTATCAAGTCTCAGCAACAGAAAGTAACTAAGACACATCCCCAGCACCAAGGCAAAAACTTACGCACTGCAGTGGTATCTGAGTTCTTGAATGCTTTTTTTTTTTTTTTTTTTTTTTC